GTCTTCTACCTTGAAGGCCTTACTGGGAGAATTTAAAGGGGGTTTTATATACGTTATTTTTGTGTTAACATTTTCTGTTACACTGCCAATCTTTTAATTGCACCACATCTCACAGATTTTCAACTTGACATGACAAGGCAGCCTCTGTGATGGTGGTATCGCCTACACTTTCCCGGAGGTGCCCAGCCTTCTGCTCTGAGGTCTTTAGCCATCACTCCACTCTCAAGTCAGAGATGTATGGCTGTATGGGGTGTGTAGGGAGTTGGGGATCAGATTTTCTTCTAGCTGGGAGAGGAATTAGTCTTTTTTGCTTTTTGAGGTTGGCCATCCGTATGCGTAGTCTTTCCCAACTGATGTGTCAGGGTTGCAGCATGCTGGCTGGCTGGTGGGAAAAGAGGCTCAGAGCACGCTGGTCACAAGCCCATGTTCAAAAAACTTGTTGATGGAGAATACAGATTAAACTAGCCAATTTTGTATAACTAAACAATATATTTTGTGAGCTCATTACTGTAAACAGTATGCAGGATAAATAGTTTGTTACTTCTATCTAGATAAAATCCACATGGTTAGAGTCATAGTGTCTATTGTGTGAGCTTGGCAAACACAGGGCTTATCTGAGGTTCCTCCACCTTAGATATGCCACAAAGACTGTACACTTCAGAAGGTTTGTAAGCACAACATGTACTATCTGCTGTAATAAAGGCAGTCATAGCTTGTCTGCAGCATTATCATAAATCAATACATTTATGAAATTAGTTTCCCTATGAATTTTGAGATTACCTTAGCAGGCGAAATTTCTGTGGCATCTGTAGCTCTGTACTCTCAAGATACAGCAAGAGAGATTATTTATGACCACTGCTGTATATGTTGTTACACTGTAATACACTGTATTACACTAAGTGATGTGATGGCTGGAGGCCATCTTGGGCGCAGCGATCATGAGATGAGAGTTTTTGATTCTTGGAGAAGTAAGGAGAGGGGTCAGCAGAACTGCCACCTTGGACTTGCGGAGGGCAGACTTTGGCCTGTTTAGGAGCCTGGTTGACAGAGTCCCTTGAGAGGCAGTCTTGAAGGGCAGAGGAATCCAGGAAGGCTGGACATTCTTCAAGAAGGAAATCTTAAAGGCACAGGGGCAGGCTGTCCCCATGTGCCAAAAGATGATTTGGCAGGGAAGAAGACAGGCTTGGCTGAACAGAGAGGTTTGGGTGGAACTCAGGAAAAAAAAGGAGAGTTTATGTCCTTTGGAAGAAGGGGCAGGCAACTCAGGAGGACTACAAGGATATCATGAGGTTATGCAGGGAGAAAATTGGAAGGGCCAAAGCCCAACTAGAACTTAATCTGGCTACTGCTGTAAAAGACAATAAAAATGTTTCTATAAATACATTAACAACAAAAGGAGGGCTAAGGAGAATCTCCATCCTTTATTGGATGTGGGGAAGGAACATAGTGACAAAGGATGAGGAAAAGGCTGAGATACTAGTGCCCTCTGCCTCATTCTTTAATAGTAAGACCAGTTGTTCTCCAGGTACCCAGCTCCCTGAGCTGGAAGACAGGGACAGGGAGCAGAATGAAGCCCCCATAATCCAAGGGCAAAGGGTTAGTGACCTGCTGCACCACTTAGACACACACAAGTCTATGGGGCTGGATGGGATCCACCCAAGGGCACTGAGGGAGCTGGTGGAAGTGCTCTCCAAGCGACTTTCAATCCTTTACCAGCAGTCCTGGCTAACCGGGGAGGTCTCAGTTGAGACGTCACAGTTAGTAAATGTGACATCCATCTACAAGAAGGGTGGGAAGGAGGATCCGGGGAGCTACAGGCCTGTCAGTCCAACCTTGGTGCTGGGGAAGGTTATGGAGCAGATCATCCTGAGTGCCATCATGCAGCACGTACAGGACAACCAGGTGATCAGGCGCAGTCAGCATGGGTTGATGATAGACGGGTCCTGCTTGACCCACCTGATCTCCTTCTACGACAAGGTGACTGGTTTAGTGGATGAGGGAAAGGCTGTGGATGTTGTTTACTTGGACTTTAGTAAAGCCTTTGACACCGTTTCCCACAGTTCTCCCGGAGGAACTGACTGCTCATGGCTTGGATGGGTGTACACTTTGCTGGGTAATGTCCAGGCCCATAGAGTGGTGGTGAACAGAATTCAATCCCGTTGGCAGCTAGTCACAAGTGGTACTCCCCAGGGCTCAGTACTGGGGCCTGTTCTGTTTATCACCTTTATCAACGATCTGGATGAGGGGATCAAGTGCTCCCTCAATAAGTTTGCAGATGACACCAAGTTGGTTGGGAGTGTTGATCTGCTTGAAGATAGGAAGGCTCTGCAGAGGGATCAGGACAAGCTGGATCAATGGGCTGAGGCCAATGCTATGAGGTTCAACAAGACCAAGTGCTGGGTCCTGCACTTGGCTCAAAACAACCCCATGCAGCGCTACAGGCTTGGGGAAGGGGGGCTGGAGAGCTGCCCGGCAGAAAAGGCCCTGGGGGTGCTGGGCGACAGGTGGCTGAACATGAGCCAGCAGTGTGCCCAGGTGGCCAAGGAGGCCAACAGCATCCTGGCCTGTATCAGAAATAGTGTGGCCAGCAGGAGCGGGGAAGTGATCATGCCCCTGTACTCGGCACTGCTGAGGCCGCACCTCGAATACTGCGTGCAGTTTTGGGCCCCTCACTGACGTGCGGAAAACGGACTCCACAATCTGTGAGACTGTAAAGTAGGTATGTTTATTCAGCGCTGGGCAGCACGGGGGGTAGCCCCACCAAAGTCGTGCATGCCCCAATGCGGCAACTTGTCTTAGATTTATACAGTTAAGTGTTACATATACATTAGGTTTCCCAATACGCCTATATATATGTATGACCTATCCCTGCACTTTGTATTAAAATTAGTCCCAAGAAGTCGTTTCCATAAACTTCTCCCATCTGTGCTTGCGCAGTGCCTCCTTGTGGTGGTCGTTGGGGGTCGTAAAGATGAAGGCTGATGGCTCCTCTTTGTCACCGCTAGTAACCACTTGTCCTTGCGCAGACTCGGCTCTTGCCCAAACTTCAGGGTCAGTTTCAGACAGTTCTTAAGACAGGTTCATAATTCTTATTGGGGATTGTCCATTGTAGGGGGCCACAGGACTTCTTGCTTCAACTAATTTGTACAATGGCTAACAGAAACATTAAGCAACATCTATTAATTCGATCCCCAGGACTATACAGCAATCTAGGTAATCATTAAGCAACGCTTTATCTACTAAGATTCCCTTAATTCCTTCTCTCATCACTACAAAAAAGACATTGAGGTGCTGGAGTGTGTCCAGAGAAGGGCAACAAAGCTGGTGAAGGGTCTGGAGAACAAGTCTTGCGAGGAGCGGCTGAGGGAACTGAGGTTGTTTAGTCTGGAGAAGAGAAGGCTGAGGAGAGACCTTATCACTCTCTACAACTACCTGAAAGGAGGTTGTAGTGAGATGGGGGTTGGTATCTTCTCCCAAGTTACAAGCAATAGGACAAGAGGAATTGGTCTCACGTTGCACCAGGGGAGGTTTAGATTGGACATTAGGAAAAATTGCTTTACTGAAAGAGTGGTCAAACACTGGAACAGGCTGTCCAGGGAAGTGGTTGAGTCACCATCCCTGGAGGTCTTTAGAAGACATGTAGATGTGGTGCTTAGGGACATGGTTTAGCGGTGGGCTTGGCAGTGCTGGGTTAATGGTTGGACCTGATGATCTTAAAGGTCTTTTCAAACCTAAATGATTCTATGATTCTTTGAAAAGTCTCAGGGGCATGGGGAGAAGAGATTAGTTTCAAAAGAGCAGAGCAGACTGTATGGATGTATAACCTGAGGTCTACCATTCCCCAGATGGGAGACAGATCACCATCTGTGAGCTGTTAGTGTTTTTCCATAGGAAGCCTCAGGCTAGACTCTCCTTTTTGCTCTGTGGGTCTTTGAAATTGTTTAGCGGGTGCTCTTGACCTCTGTTTTTCTATCCCTGGCCAAACACAGACGACATCCCCAGCAGGCTGGAGTTGCATCTCTGAGGCCACTAGAACACCCCGCTGTCCCTGAAGTACCTTCCTGAGGTTACATACATCTACTGCATTTCTCCCTGCTTCCTCTTCCTGTACCCCTTCTTAAGTTCATTACAGTCACACAGGTAAATCTGAGGGAGTGCTGTACTTAGTAATTACTAGTCAGATTATATGCAGTAATTTATCTCTTTTTTTGCTTGTTTCTGAAGGAAAAAATCTTGATTTCAGAATGCTGGGTATAATGTGCCCATAGAGGGTAAGTAAGGTAAGAGCACGTGAGCTGTGGCGCCTGTGCTTACAGGTGTTGATGGAACCAACAGGTCAGGTAATCGTTTGCAAATTGAGCAGGGTGTTGCACGTGGCAAGAAATGCACATCCTCTTGCAGCACTTCTTGCTGACTTACTGGTTTTTGTTTTCCCATCAGCACAATCGGCACATTGTCCTTGGTCACTGTTCACTGAAAGCCATTCCTGCAGATTAATGAGTAGCCCAACTGTAAAACTAAGGAAATCAGAAGCAGGTACAGCTGCAGCCAGACTGTGTCCATTTCCTGAGCAGCTTACACAATAGCATGTTTTAATATATCAGCTGGGCTCTTATGAGTGTCACCAAAGTAATTCAGCAAAGCCTTCACTGCGTCCCTGCTGCTGTGAATTCAAGAGCCACTCTCCCCTTTGCACCTACAGTGCTACTGAGAGCAGTGGGTTTGGAGGGCAGCCTCCCAGGGAGGTGGAAAGAGGGGACAGCTTCCAGCCAGGGCTTTTGCTTTCTTCCTGTGATATGCGAAAATGGTGGGGAGAAGCGTGACAAATGAAGACAGAAGCACTGCGAAGAGTGTGGTTTCAGCAGATGGGTGGTTTATTTTCAGTCTAGTGCTCTGACTGATTAAGGGGCGGGGCTCTGAGCTGGGAGGCTTGGCTAAGACATCAGCGCAGTGCACTTGCAGGAGCACTTCACATAACCGGCTTCCAGTGTGTCTGAAGGGACTTGTGGTATCAGCAACCTGACGGCTTTGCAGCTGACTGAATTCTTGGTGCAAGAAATCAGTGGTGGCAAGATTCGAAGCGGGCACAACAGTCAACATGAGCATAGCCGGCAAAGTAAGCAAAAGTTTATATTAGAAAAGTTTCTTTGCGGCAGCTGAATAATGCATTTTTAAATGCAGTTTCTTTGCAGGGACACTGTAAGTCCTGGTGGTGTAGCACAGATAAGAGTTTAGGAGGAAGCTGGTACAGGAGAGCTTCCTTTACTTGCAGGCCACTGTACTCTCTTAGGAAATGGTTGTTACACTCTTAAAGGCAATAATTTATTTATGCATCATAAGGTAACAGCACCAGAATTAGAATAACCTCCCCCCAGGGTCAGGAAACTATTTTTAATCTCTGATTGGACAGTTTAAAATATGATACAATGTAGTTGAGTGTTCAAATCAATGTATTTATCAGTTCTATCAGTTGCCATTCTGAAATCCCACAGTGGTTTTAATTTCCAAAAAACCCACATAGTTAATATTGTGTTCAATTTCAGAGTGTAATTGTGCTGGTGTTAGGACAGTCATTAAATTTGAATAGGCATATAACAAGTCTGGAGCTTAAGGTACTGAAGAACAAAATCAAGTATCCCGTGCAACGCAGTACTGAGCTGGGGCTGAAATGGATATTTATATCTTTGCTGGAAAGTAAGTGAAGTACAGATCTAGATTGATTCCACTGCTGAAGACAGTATATGTTGCTGCTTGCACTACCTGAGAGATGCTAACATAGAATCACGGAATCATGTTGGAAAAGACCTTCAAGATCATCGAGTCCAACTGTTAACCTAGCACTGCCAAGTCCACCAGTAAACCAAGTCTCTAAGTGTCACAGCACAGCCTTTCCCTCATCCACTAAGCAGGTCACCTTGTCATAGGAGAAGATCAGGTGGGTCAAGCAGGACCCGTCTTTCATCAACCCATGCTGACTGCGCCTGATCACCTGGTTGTCCTGTACGTGCTGCATGATGGCACTCAGGATGATCTGCTCCATGCACCTGGATGGACAGGAACCCAGAGATGGAAAATGACTGAAGACACGTACCTTGCTTGAATGTGCCTTAAGAAAGTTACCAGGATCATTTGCTGTTACTGCCAGCTGTCTTCACTATTCTAAAACCAAACAAAACAAGAGGCGAAAAAAAGTAAAACTCTCTTTTAACTCTGAGATACTGCAAGTGCAAAATTAACTGTAGTTCACTTGTAGGTAAATTCACCCCATTCAGTCCCCCACCCAGCCTTGGACTGAGCAAGGTAAGTGAAGTGTTGTGATGTAACTAACTGCTTGTTTTCACTGTGTTTATCTTGAAGTAATATGTGAGGAGACACCGTGCAGTTTACGTGACCAAGCAGCATAATCCTTATGGTTTGTAAAAGGGTGTGTTTCTACACCTACCCTCCCCCTGCTGCAGTAACTTGTAAGGCTGGTAGAACACACAAGCAGAGAAAAGCCCTGTGACTCCATGTAGTGCTTGCCTTAATAGATTAAATGGGCGATAGTATGCTGTTGGTGCATTGGTGGGATCCTGTGGTAGTTGGTAAAAGTTCACAGGGACCCAGCCATCAGATCAATACAGAGTTAACCAATGTCTGCTTGTAGGAGAGATTTATCTGTTCTCAGCCACCCACAGTTCTTGGCTACCTTTGTTCTTCTAAACACTACGTGTGCTGTGCATGTGCAAGTTGTGAAATCATCCTTGTGCTCTGTGGGATACAGTGTAAATATATAAGCCCTTTTTTTTTTAAGTTTCCTGGAAAATGTGACCCTTTAAATGTGATCTTTGGCCTCAGCTGTGAATTTTTTACTAAGCACACTTGCATTTGACACATGAAACATTAAATTTAGTTCAAACCTCTCTTGAGTCTGTCTTTTTCAAAGCATTGTGCTCATTCTCACTTTGGGTCTGGCTGCTGAAAGTGCTAAAGAATTTTATTTCATATGTTTAATAGTTCCTAGTACTTATTTTCTTTGTTACCAGTTGACAATTTGTTGATAATTAGGCATTATTTCTCCTTCTACTTCAACACCTTTGATACTAAAAAGTTGCTTTATCTTTTTCCCCCTCCCCTGAGGACTTTGCAGCATGCTGCTGTTAACTTGTCCGAGTCACCCAGGATAAATGCATGTGCTAAACTTCTTGCATCATTGACTCGATTCACCTCCGTTTCCCTTTCAAGATAATGCCACCAGAGCGCTTGCAGTCAGTAGGACTTAATAGAGTGACTGAGGACTTAATAGTGTGTCAGCTGTGAGGATGACATGGAAAATCATATTCCTTCCAGGGCTTGGAGTTGTTTAAACCTCTGGGATAGGCAGTGACCACCAAGGAAGAACAGGAATGAATAAGTGGACAGAGAGGTTCCACTGCCTATGAATACACTAGGAGTGAGCTTGCAGGATGGAAACTGGGGCTAGTGTCTGTCTGAGGGCCTGGGATGAGGCGTGGACAACACTTTTCTCTCTTCTGAGTGCATTTTTCTCTCACTGGTGGATGATAAGAGGAGCCCAGAGGCCTGTCAGCACCTGGACAAAGCTTGTGGAGCTAATGGACAAACTTTAGCCTAACAGACAAAAAAAAGCTGTCCTGGGTATTGGGAGTAATCCCACCTGAGTTAAATATCCCTGTTGCGAGGCAAGGTACCTCAGCACAGATAATCTTGCATTAAAGGAACTGTTGCTTCTTCAAGATTACCTCTGCATAGCGCTACATCACTTTACATAGGTGTTCCCTCAGCCGTCACCTCATGGCTGAACTTGGGCTGTGATAAAACGTTTATAAACCTGCACAAGGCTCTGAATTCCATTTTTAGCAATTTTGTCAGTTCCTGACACAAGCAGTTCCAGGCAATACAGACTTTATCACAACCTGATATATGGCATCATTTAGCGTACCATCTCCAAGAAGACATGAGTATACGTCAGTAACCCAACATGGCAAAAATAATCTTCCAAGGAAGTTAGAAACAGAAAAGGAGCAATGAGGATGGATAAAGTATCCAGTTATCCTAGGAGACGTTGCTGAAAACTTCGTATGACAGAAATATGAACAAAGTCAGGCATGATCTTGGTGGGGGAAAAAAATGGGCTTACACTGTGCTTTGGTGTTGGTTTTCTTTGTTGTGTTTTGGGTTTGTTTTTTTTTTCCCTGTAGATTTCCCTCTCCTCTCCCAAATATGAGCAGAAACATAAGAATCTGTCTGTGTGGTGACTTGCACATGCAAGTGCCATTCCCTTTTTCTTTGCTTTGTTTGCAGGTTATTACATGCAAAGCAGCAGTAATGTGGGAAGCAAATAAACCATTTTCTATTGAGGAAGTGGAAGTTGCCCCACCAAAAGCACATGAAGTTCGCATAAAGGTACTAAAAGTAAAATTTGAAACAGCTATTACGACTTGCATTCTATCTTGCTGTTTATCAGAATTATTTCTATAGATTTGTAGAATCCAGTTGGAAAACATTCACTAGGTGAGTAGTTACTATTCAGTGAGCTCCTATGGAACATGCTTCAAGTCCTAAATTTCATCATGAGTTTCTTTAAAAAAAAAAACCACAAGTTTTTCAGGGTTGGGTTTTCTGTTTACTAAGACACACATGCTTCTAATAAGCTGAAAAAATTACAGTACGAGGCAAAAATCCAAATCTCCTTTAGCGTGGAGGAAGAAATTATCTTTTACTTTGTTTGAATCTGGGTAGGAAATAGCTCAGTAGGGTTGGGAGCTTCCTTTTTCAACTGGATATTGAGCATCTGTTACATTTCAGGAACTTTCTCAGTGGAATTCAGCAGCTGTTTTCATTCTAGAGCAGTTTCAGGTCTTACACAAGTGAGGAGAACCCCTCATGGGGTTGACAACTCCATTTGTCAGAATAAAAGTTGTACAGACATACTTGGATGTTTCAAAAGAAATACTGCTGTGCTACCTGCAAGAAAAGGCAAAATATGGTATAAAATAATGTGTAGCCTAAATTTTTCTATATATAACATATACATCTATTTGAAATATATAAATATTACATCATATCATTGTATGATACATATTTTATATAATATGTCTATTATAGATATGTGGAAATATAACCAAAATAGTAGGAATATAATATTCCTATGTTTATAAATAATGTGATAGTTAATGTATAGTTACATAATTTTGTAATATTTCTATAATATTATAGATTTTTTCTATTTATGCATTTATATATAAATATCAGGAATAATTTATTTTATTCTGTTCTTAATATGTAATTGTATTTCTAGAACATTGGTTCTGCCAGATAATCAATGAGACTCCATATAGAGCTCAGTAGTGCATAGCAAACATTCACAAAGAAGCCTTTCTTTGTAGATGAAAGACTAATACAGACCATGGAAATCATGAATCATGCAACCAAAAATGTTTTACCTGGAGATTTATTGTGTACATATGTGATTTTGGAGGGAAGAAAGTGAGTTCTCCAAATACTTGATCTCATTTCACTTCTTCATATGACATGACGTAGTTAAAGGCTGAAATAGTCTTGTCTGTCCTCTAAATCAGATCGTGGCCACAGGGATCTGTCGCTCTGATGATCACGTGGTAACTGGTGGACTGGTTATGCCTTTTCCAATAATTCTTGGGCATGAAGCAGCTGGTGTTGTGGAGAGCGTTGGGCAGGGAGTGACTTCGATCCAACCAGGTATAAAACAGCGGTGAACACAAACCCTGTGCTGAGTTCCCAGACTCTTGTTTAAGTCAAAGGTGATTACATGTGTGAGTACTGGTATTGGAAAGGAAAATGTTCTAACTTTGAGTTTTTTCAAGGAGACCTTAAAGGACACTAAGTGCTGTTTACATCTTTCTGTGTTCCCAATCTTGATTTATTTTCAGATTTTCTATTCCATTTCTTTTGGTTTTGGCAAAAAAATCCGCAGCTTGCTTTCCACCTACAAAGCACTTTTCCTGTCACGGGATTAAGAACACTGATTCTTTGCTATTGGTCATAGGAAACCAGGTATTAGCTGCAGGTTCTTTAAACACAGTTTACACAGCTAATCTCTCTCAACAATAAGGCAAAGCAAAGTACTAGACAACATGTCAAAGCACTTTCTTTGAATTCTCCTAACAGCTAAATAATCCATTGACTGCAGCAGACCAGAATTTAGATGTGTGTGTTCAATCACTTCACTTGAAGTGTGTCAGGGTACAACTGGGTGGCCCACCCTGCTACAGGCTTTGCTTGTGTGCAGCACCAGCGCAGGTGAGTCAGCAATGCTCACTGAGGGCCGGGTCGCTCCAGGGACACTTAGCGGGACCAGCCACTCCTCTCGCTGCACTCTCTTTGAACCACAGTCGGTAGATAGAGAAGTCAGTGGAAGATGCTGATTTTTGTCCAACTGCCACAAGATGAGACAGGCTTTCTTTACAGTACCTAAGTAGTTCACTCTTAACACCTCCATAGTTCTGGTGTCTTTGTTCATGCTGGCCACGAGTACAAAGTCTGTCCAAAGCAGGTCAGCAGGTACAATAAGAAAAAGTTTTATCGGAGATTTCTGCTTTAACCCCAAACAAATATATATACTGCAAATTTCAGTGATAGCTCTAACTGCTTTTTCTCTAATGTCTGGATACATAAATCACTCTGTTGTCTAATTCAGGCTGCCATTTTGTTTCCAGGTGAGCCGAAACAGCAGGCCTGAATACACAGACACACACAAAATCACGTTTCTCAGATGTTGCTTAATTTACACCTTCAAGTTCTAAAAAAAGGCACCAAGACATGCAAAGTTTCTTTAGCAGAATGATTACTAAGCCCATGTCACAATTCTAAGTTAACTGAGGGTCAGGATAGTGGGGCCATTTCATGTTCTGTAGGCATTTTCCATTTTTTTACCAGAAATCGGAGATTTCCCTTGACTTTCAATGTGCCAAGGATCAGCCACAGTTTAGAACTGCCAAATCACAAATTGATCTGTATTAGGGATTACCTGTTTAGAGATTATTAGGGATTTACCACACGTTGGTGCTGTGTAAAATGTGTAGCAGTAAAAAAACTGCACTGGGAAGCTATGTGCTACTTTGTTATTCATATAATTGTGCTGGAGAATGAGAGATGTTGTCTTAGCTTGTATGTGTCACTGCTGCTCTGACAAATATTTTACCTACCTTTGTTCCAATGAAACAGTAATAGGACTGCAACTAGGAAAGAGACTCAAAGGGCCTGGCAAAATAATGCTTAATTTCCCATTCTTGGCATGCACAGTTTACAGCCCTGTTATCTTGGCACTCCAATCTGCTGTCCCAGTGGCTGTCCACTTTTATCTGTTTCTTTACCTGTGTATTACTGTCTTCCTTTTAACCAGAAGATGCAGTAAACTGCTGAATAAGTACTTTGGGAATGTTAGTAGCAAACACGGTTTTATGACATAGCTCAGACTCAGTTCTATGAAAGACACCAGGAGTTTTGCACATTGAAATTAGTTGTCATAACTTTGCCCTCCTGATGTCCCTTATAACAGAGAGAGATGGTTTGCCTTCCGCGGGCAGCAGAAGGAAATAAAACCAGCACTGCACTCCTAGTGCACATTTTCCTAGGGATTAAACACACTTGCTTCATGCTTTTACCCGCATGCTTCTTGTTTGTGTTTTTTAATCCTCTGACATTACTGTTCTATTTCTAGGAGACAAGGTTATTCCACTCTTCATTCCGCAGTGTGGGGAGTGCAGCAGTTGCTTAAGCACCAAGGGTAACCTGTGCAGTAAAAATGAGTGAGTTTTCCTGGGTTACCTACAACCTCTATTTGATTTTTATTTATACAAAACTGATCACATTCAACAGATTTCACTTGCCATTGTTTCTGGTCATCTTTCAAACAGCATTGGTTCAGCTGCTGGATTAATGCCTGATGGCACCACTAGATTCACCTGTAAAGGAAAAGCAATTCACCACTTTCTTGGTACAAGCACCTTCACTGAATACACAGTGGTGCATGAAACTGCTGTAGCCAAAATCGATTCTGCTGCTCCTCTGGAAAAAGTTTGTCTAATAGGCTGTGGATTTTCAACTGGTTATGGGGCTGCTGTGCAGACTGCCAAGGTAAGGATCGTGGTGGGTGTTTCTGGTATCACATGGTGTCTGTTCGGGATTATGTAGCCTGTGAGTGGGTTGTCAGCGTGGCAGCCAGGAGGTATAGACTCTGTTGAGTTCGGAGTGGAAAGAAGAAACTGGTTCTTCATCTACTTCAGTTTCTTTGTCTCTAAGGTACTCAGAAGGCTTCAGTTTAAAATCCAGTAAAAATACTTATTACCATCTACTAAGTTTTCTGTCATAGCTTTATCACCCCTTGAGAAATGTTAGAACAGAGCTGATTTGGTTTATTGTTAACTGAAGCCTAGGAATACATCTAAGCCTATGTATGCAACAGATAATTTGTAGCAACACATGAATGTGACTTTTTCAGCCGGCCCTGTCTCCAGTGGAGTGAGGCTACAGATCATAACACCACTGGAATATAAAGCATTAAAAAAAAAAAAAAAAAAAAAAAAAAAAAGTGTCTCTAAACCTGAAGCTGAGCCATGTAATGAAAACCTGGTCTCAGGAATTTATTTTAGGGACAATTTATCTCAGTCACATGTAGGATTCTAACAGTATAGGTGGCTACTGCACTAGTAGGTATGCACGTGCAAATTCCTTCTCAGCAGAAAATCTCTAAATTACAAGTGGCTTAAGTAAAAACATGTTGATAATAAGAAAACACGTTGTATGTTACCTAGGCTGTAACAGTATGACACGTTTATATGGTTCTTTTAGGTAGAACCAGGCTCCACCTGCGCCATCTTTGGCCTCGGAGGAGTTGGCCTCTCTGTTGTTATGGGCTGCAAGGCAGCTGGAGCTTCCCGCATCATTGCCGTTGACATCAATAGCGACAAATTTGCCAAGGCCAAGGAGCTGGGAGCCACCGACTGCGTCAACCCAAAAGATTTCAAGAAGCCTATTCATGAAGTGTTGATTGAAATGACTGGCCCTGGTGTGGACTATTCCTTTGAGGTCATTGGCCGTACCGAAACCATGGTATGCAACCAAAAGATGTGGTCAAATGAGGCATTAGCTTGTTAGCTCTCTCTTCACTAACCCACCAAGTGCCAAGCGGGAGGAACCGAGAGCCACTGGCAAAGTGTCAAGCTAACATTAAACCTGTAAAGTCCAGCTACCCACCACTGAGGTGCAGGGACAGAAGCACACTCAAAAACATAGGAGAGGGAACTTCAGTGTATTCCCTTGGCCTAACCAGGGTGGCTAAATTTCACATAGCCCGCAATCTACTTTCCAGCAGCGGCTCATCACTAATGATTAAGACAAAATGGGGAATAAGAACAAAGCTAGGACATAGCTAACCCATGACAGCAGATACAATGGTGTGAGCAGATACAATGGAAATTGTTTGATGTGCTTTCAGTCACAAAAAATTAATTGCAAGATGAGCCCTGAGAGGAGGAGAAGGAATTTGAATTTTTGTGTCCCAGCAGCAAATCATGTGTGACTCTGAGGTGTCCCTCTGTTTCAAATGCAGGCTGCAGCCTTGGCCTGTTGCCAATACAACTACGGAGTCAGTGTGATTGTGGGAGTGCCACCCGCTGCCCAAATGATCACTTTTGACCCCATGCTCCTCTTCACTGGTCGCACCTGGAAAGGGTCCATCTTTGGAGGTAAGGACTTGGAAATGTGTGACTTAACTGGCTTGGGGAACTTGTAAATTATCTTGAATGAAATAGGATATATCTCAATTCATTGCTTAGGTTGTCCTGTTGGAAGCAATATTGAAGCTATTTTGCTGCCAAAGAAGCACGAAGGGAATTAATTATGGGTACTGTTAGTTAATGGTGAGAGAAGGAGAGAGAAAAACAGAGAGGTGGGGAGGGGAGAAGAAGGGGGAGAGAAGGAGAGGCAGAGAAAGGAAGAGATAAAAGACAAAAAATAGAGAAGAGGGGAAAAAAGGAGAAAGAAGATAAGAGGGAAAAGGGAGAAAAAAGAAAGGGAGAGAAAGAGAGAAAGGTAGAAGAGAGAAAGAATAGGAGGGGGAGGGGAGGGAGGGAGGAGAAGAGATAAAAATAAAAAGAGATAAGGAGAAAGAAAAGGAAAAAGATAAGAGAAAAGGACAAAGAGAAAATGAGGAAAAGATAGAGAGGGGGGAGAGGGAGGGGGAGAAAAAGAGCAAGACCAAAAACGAGAATGAAAAGGATAGAAAGACAGAAAGAGAGGGAAAGAATAAGAGAGTGGAAGAGATGGAGAGTCAGGACATTAAAGGACATCAGGGGCTAAACCTTAGCTCAGCCTCTTGCCAGCTGCCATCAGTCACTTCCAGTTCTTTCTCTTTTCTGAGCTCTCCCCACAGCCCCACACTCAGCAAGCCCTAGCTCGCTCAAAACAAAGCTGAAGGCCACAGAAAACTTGTTTCCACAATAAGTTTTCTCACGCTGATGTAGTCAATAGACACTGAATAAAATAGCAGAGACAAATGAGGTTCTTCTGGAAGGGCATCCTACTATTTAAGACAGATTTGTCTAGTCCTGCTTGTAAGAAAGAGAGACACACATCCACCCCTGTCCCCCAGTTTTGACCAGGCAATCAAGTTTCCAGTTATCAACGTAGATGTTTCTTGGCTTTTGTATAATGTGTGATTTAGTGGACAACATATCAATAGACAAGTTGAAACAGTATTCAGTGTGGGGCAAAGTTTGGATTCTGTAAGGATTCAAATTTTTACTGGTCCTCTACCAGTAAAGCACTGAATTTGTCATATGTAGAATAGCTGCACTTCACCCCATGTTTCCTGCTGGCACTCATATGGTAAAAAGAGGTCAAGCCATGATGCAACATTTCATCACGATATTCTGCTATAGAAAATTCATGTAAAAATTTAAGCTGCTGTGGGTTTTATCTGTTTTCACAAGCATTTAATGTTCCATTATCCATTGTCTGTGGGTTTTTTTCAGGCTGGAAGAGTAAAGACGCAGTCCCTAAACTGGTTGCTGACTACATGAAGAAAAAATTTGTTCTGGATCCGTTAATAACCCACACACTTCCTTTCACTAAAATCAATGAAGGATTTGATCTGCTAAGGACAGGGAAGAGGTAAACATTGTATAATTGTAAAGGTTATATATAAATAACCTTAAGGAGCTGTATGGTAACACAAAGTAGAACTTCACAGCAGAGAACAGGGAAGGCAACCCATCATGCCCCTTAATCTCACCCAGTGTGTGTCCATGGGTGGCAGCTGTAGTAATAAAGAGAGCAAAGCTTTAGCTTTCAAAATGCAGCGGGCACTGTCTTTCCTTGCAGAGGAACTTTCAGATTCTAGTTTGAGCAAAGACGCTGGGTGGCAGAGGGAGAAAAGGCCACACACATGAGGAAGTCTCTGCCCACTACCCATTGGAAAAGAGCACACATCCAAGGGAGCCTGGGAATGCCAAGCTGTGGAGTGCCACAGGGGTTAGCTACATTGCATTCCAAGAAACGTTTTAGGATGAGGAGCAGGAACACAGAAATAGCCTATGTTTACTGAAGAGCAACTCACCATTCCTCTTGTGAGTTAGGGAACAGAGTCCCAGTGCAATTAGTCCTAAAGTCACTGGGTAGTTTACCTTGAAAGTCAAAGCTTTTCAGAAAGGAAAGTACTTGGTGTCTATATACATTGCAAACTCGGAATTTCTCTCTCATGCATTCCTCAAATATTGCGAGAGTTCAGCTCAGACTCTGTTTTCATAGGGTGTGGAAATCAGAACTATTGTTTGCCAGAGACATTTGACAAGATTCACCATAGGAATGATTGAAAATTCCCCTTGTCAGAAGCGGGAAATACATTTGTGTATCTTAGTATGTGTGGGGACTACCCTCAGCTGTTTATAACTTACACAGTCTGGAGAATTACATTCATGTTTTCTTTTCATTGTCATTTGCTAGCCATTATTTTAGGTGTTAGTTGCTCTAAACTTAAAAAGCATGTAACAGAAGATTTTCACCCTTGAGGTTTGTTTGCACGTTCTAACTATGGAGCATGCACTTCATGTTTTGACTGACCTTATTTTAGATGTGCTGTAAATGTTAGTTTTACATTTTAGTGTAACAAACAGGGGAGACTGGTAAGGACAGAGACACGACCAGCTTTGCTAAAACACTGACAGTCACACACCTGAAGACAGCGGCACGTTGCAGCTGACCACTTTTACTAAGTGAGACACTTCAGTGTTTCAGCCCAGAATAAGCTGTACCATTCAGAGGTTACCCTTAGAGCCACTTGTAACTGGAAAGATGTGTCTAAGTCCCCCTCCAAGGGCTTCCCAGGCTATATTTGGTGATTAATTGCCAGGAGCCCTGGGCTTTGTGAGCAAAGTCTTTGCAGTCTTGCCTGAAATTTTGTTCTCTGCACCTGCAGCAACGTTTGCACATCTGCTCTGTTGTTTTGCTGCAAGCAGGGGCTGGGGCAGGGAGGGAGTACCCTGGTTGACAGCACTAGCCTAGATTTTCAGAGAAAACAGTAGTGTTTTGCTGATGTTAGCCCAGGGGCTTTTCTACAGTCACTAACTTGTCATTTTATATTGCAGTATTCGCAGTGTTCTGGTGTTTTAGGGTTCCCAACTGTTACACAGCAGATGGCTCTGCATCAGTTCAAACTTCATTATCCTCCAATACAACTCATACGAAATACAAACCAAGACAATTCTGAAAGGTCTACCACCACTACCTTTGACTAAAAGGATCAAGCTCAAACCCAAGACTCCAAGCACAGTGTTTATAAACGAAATAATCTTTTTCCTCCTCCCTCTTTCTCCTGATTCTTGCTTTAAATCCTCTGTATTACGCTGCAATTTTCTTTTAATAGCCAGTTATGAATGACCTGTGTGCTGCTGCCACAGGTGTTATGAAATACCTGGATTTTTTTAAATGGCTTTTAATATACGATCTTTTAATAAAAGAAAAATGAAGGGAACTGTTTCTTTGGGCCTTCTTAACACCGCAAGCTTAACAGATTTGTGCATGCAGCTCACAGTAAAACACTAGGTCAGAGCTATGTATCCATCATGAGTGATTTTAGCATTCCATTACCTGATAGGCAAGGAAATTTGAGAGACTAAAATTTATGGTGGCCATGTATTTGAATTAATAATTTCAGTAAATTATATTTAAGTGAATCATAGTCTTAGGTACTGGAGAACATCTCACCACTGGATATTTTACCAAATTCACACCTCCAAGTATTTTATATAAAACTGCTGTGGTGGTGTTCCATGTTGTGGTTTGGGCTTTTTTTACCTTTGCACCTCTTTCTCAGGGATGTTTTAGTTGTTTTATCAGTATGGTTTTAGATCTTCGGCCAATTTGTACAAGTGCATCTGATGCCTGGGAAACAATATCAAGAAATATGAATGTGCATCAAGTATAGTTAATTTGTTTCCACTAAATAACGGGGAGGTTTCTTAACCTTTAAGCATGAATACAGAGTAAACGAGAAGAAACAGATGACTGGTAACAGTTTGCAGGAAAACTAATATAAAGCATCTTACTGCTTTGCGTGCTTGTAACGTGGAAGCAGGAACAGAGGCTATTTCTATCTTGACAAATATAGTTAACATTGACCTATCTTTTGAAAGTACTGATCAGACCTTGCAGGCACTCACATGCATGGTAGCTGGGTGGAAGAGCCCGTGAAGTAAGAGGACTGTGTGCTAATGATGACTTAATTGCTTGTGTCAGCAGAAAGTGTCCTTGAACAGCCCAGCTAGGTTAATGATTTGAGGATAAGTTTACCAAGAGATTAGACTTTAACAGAAGATCCTTAAACACCTGTGTGTATAATAAACTCAGTTTCCACAGCAACTAAGACCCAAGCTTCAGTCATTTGTTTCTTTGGGGTTACCTGTGCAGTCAAGTCTGAAGATTTTTTTTCTGGACCGTAAAAAAATTCTTTTCAGGTGCAGTTCGATTGAAGAACTTGCAAGGCAGGTTCTGTGTGAACCAACAGTGTGAACTGGATCACTATTCAAAATAGAAGGAGAGGGGGCTTAATT